ATGCAGAACCATGGTGCAGGGCAATGACCAAATTATAATTGCCATGTGAAAAAAAGAGGTAAACACTGTAACATGTGTTTTAGTTCTAAATAAGATATTAAAAGAAAATAACATAGCAAAAAGCTTATTGTCTGTGTAGTGATGCCAGCTAGGCTGACTGGAAACTAACAGCAGATTCTACCAAAAATGACTGGAACTCTTAGCAGTAGATTCTCTCCTAACCTTACAGTAAGACAAAACAAGAAAGAACAAGTATCTGTCATCTACAAGTGTTTCCAAAGCCCTTTGAGGGAGCATTTTGGTTTTGTTAGATCATCAACACACTCTGGCTTTTTTGGAAGAAGCAAATGAGCCTCAGGAGGGTAAGAAGGAGGCAATGGCATGCCTAATCCTTTACAGTGCTGTTAGCTCTTGGAAGCTGGTCAGTTCTGCTCTCCCCTTCATGCTAAATATTTTCCTGAAGCGGATTTCAATGGTAGCTGAAGGTGGCTGGAGTGAAAACAGTAAGGTAAGTAAATCTTGAAATAATCAGCACTATGGAAAATAGAAGAAGGAGCCTTACACATGGTTTGTGGAGCATGCCAGGATCTCCTCTTCCTGAGCTGGAAAAGGGGTTCTGCTATAGCCAGTCATGTGCAAGGGCTATTTCTTCTTGTTTGTGAGCCAAGGATGGGAGAAGTAGGTGAAGGGAGGGGTGGGGAGGAGTGTCAGCAGGGTTAGTGTCAGCAGGAGGTTCAGCTATACATACCACCCAGATGCAAGTCGATGAGGTCACTGTAATAAGACTCTCCCCAATAGTCTACAACAAGGAATTGGTGAAGACAGAGTTATTGAACCAGACACCCACCCTAGCCCCACACAATCAAAGCAATATATAAGAAAAAGACAGACAGAAATAAACAAAAAACAGGCAAACAAGAAACATGCAGCTATACATGTGGGCACATATATATATATAAAAATTATGTCTCTCCTTCTCTGTAAATGTACATATATGTACACACAGACAAATATATCACAAACACTTATATCGGGAAGATAAGGAGAAAATTCCCAGCAGGCAGGCAAGGACTTAAAAGGAGAAAAATCAAAGTTTACACAGAGATAATTCACCTATTTCAGTCTGCACCAGTACCTGACACTGATGTCTTTCCTGTTCGTGCTGAGAAAAGCAGAACTAGTCTTGTTGCTTTCATGCTGAGAAATATGTCAGAAGGAAGCAGTGTAATTTCTTAGATCGGCTGCAGGAAAGGTGTAAGGGTTGATTTCTTGGAGGCGAGTGAGCGGAGGCTGTGTGCGTACAGCACACAGGTGGAAGGCACTGACTGAGTGCTGACACGAATGGCAAATGCCTAAGTGTAGAAAGACGGGTATGTGTGTTTCTGTTAATGCAGAATCTATGCCAGGGAAGAACCTGCACAGGAGTGTGGAACAGATGTGTATGTCCACAGCTGCTAGAGACAGGTACACCACGAGTCTTAGCGCTGTGTAATGTTTCTCTGGGGAAAAGACAAATGGAAATATTGAGAGCACTATTTCTCACTGCATATGATTCATTTGATGTAAAGAGGTGGCTCTTAAATTTTTCAGTATTGATCTGACAGTAGGAGACATTTTCCTAGCTCTTAAAAATTACTATCAAAGTTTATGCTAAAGTAGGATAAGGGAGAAAAAAGGGTTACAGAAATTTCTGATTTTACATATTTTTAAGTTAATAATTGAAAAAATGAAAAATCCACACTGGAAATCAAAGTCATAAGCATGTCCAAACAGGCGAATGCACTATAATACAAAGTACTATTACATCAATAGCCATACCATTCAAGGTGTTTCTTGGGAGACAGCAGAAAAATAGCAAAATTCTTCACTGAGATTATCCTACTTTACCTTTGCAGTTAAATACCATGAGGCAAAAGAAATGGGGAGAGAGGGGAAGGAAAACAAGGGATGACAAAAGCTTAGACCACCTGTATTGACGACCTTGCCACCTGAAATAGAGCTTACATTGTCACTTGAAATAGAGCTTACATTCCAAATCATTCATTCTTGCAATGAATGCAACTACCAAAGGCTGAGATTTTAAAAGATAATCACGGAGAACTTATTAAGGCAATTAAGTAATCATAGGGCATGAGATCATTTTCTGAATCAGAAACTAAATGCTAGATCAAGCATTCAGCTTTTAAAAGAATAAAAGATGAAGTGTGCCTTGCCTGAGGCTGAGACAATTTAAAAAAGGAAAAGGCAAGGAGGTAGGCAAGAAGATGCAATTATTTTGTCAAAATTGAAGTTGACAATGACCTCCAAAATGTTTCTGAGTCTGATTAGTTGAATAGCTAGTATCATCATATAAATACTCCAACTTGACAACTATCAATCAGATAACGAGCAAAATTCCTGGGAAGAGTATTGAGCTGTCTGTACCTATTGGGTACGGGAAAGATGACTTAACAGGCAATGTGCTAAAAGATAATAAATGACAGAGAAGTAGTTCAGATGGTCTTGTCTATCTTTTTCTACAACAGAAAAAGAAAAGAATCATTACAAAGTACAGAATTCTGTTTCTTCTATCAGGATTTTCAACTATCTAGTAGTAGAAAACTACTGCTATTACTATCTAAAACTTCATATTCAAATACCTGAGTCAGTGAGTGATTTCTTTGAAAGGGAAGCTGAATAACCCATTAATTACAGAGCCTAATATGTGGTCCTAGAACAGTTAATACTGGTTGCTGTCTATGGGACAGCCATTACTTCAATCCTGCACTGCAATCCTTCTCTATATTTGTGGACAGCATATGTGCATAGAAGGCATACCTCCCACCCTCCCCCATTTCTTCCCCTTGTACAAGCTTATTAAAAGGAAAGAGGTTGGGTTTTTTTGTGAGAAGACAACACCACTTTATACACTGCCCTTCCTCTGTTTTTAGCTTTTGTTTATACATTTTCATTAGGGGAGGGACTGATCAGGGAAAAGATCATGACTCTACACCTTTACACAATGGTACTTCCTGTACGCAGTGGTCACTGTTAGGTCAGTATCTTAGGCAATGCAGATAACAAGAAAATTATATTGCCCTCCTGAAAAATTAATGGCTATTGGAAGCAGAAATTAATTGTACTTTAGAATATGATGCTGCAGACTTTAAAAAGAAGAAATTAAGTTATTTTAGTGCAAACTTATGTAAAATGTCTATGCAAGAATGGCTAGAGAGGTGAAGCATGGATTTACAATCTTGTGTTTCCGTCAACACAGGTTAGAACATGCTTCCCCCCCCCAAAAGAACGTGTTTCTTGTTAATCCCTTGAAATAACCAGATGACTTGAGGCTGCTGAATTCGTTATGACAGAGTTAAGTTTCTGTAACTGGAATGTATGATCTGTTGATAGAAACATGTTGAAAGAGCAAAGCATTCCCTGGAGACTTCCTGAAGAAAAGAGATTCATTTTGCAAAAAGTGACCTACAATTTCATAATTCTGCTAGAAAATTCACAAATACACAAGCTTATGTAAGACTGCTTCCATTTTGGGAAAGATCAGAGTGAGAAATTAGTTATACAAGGGTTTAATTCTGCAGTCTTCCATATAAAGTAGCAATTCTCTCTCTTGGTCATATTCTGCCCTCTCTGAACATTTTTTAGGTGTTCTATCATTCTTCAATGAGAGAGCATTCTATCATGAATGTTCTTTCAGCTGCTAAGATTTCCCACTTGTGCTGACATGTCTTACGTGAAAGTAATTTAGCAGCTGACTAATCAAGACAGACTTCCAGATGAAAAGAAGAAAAAGGAAAAGAACAATTACAGGTAAGAGAAGTGGGTTTAGTAAGTGCAGTAACTGGCAGGCCAGAGAACAGAGTGGGGATACAGAGAAAAACACAGCATAAGGAAGGAGGCACCACTGCAAAGAAAGGGTTTTTTGCACAAGGCTATTTTTTTTGAACTCACAAATGAAAAAGCCAGTCAGATCACAAAACCATTCAAGTCTTCAATGGTTTGCATTGGTAACCACTCAGTCCTGCTGCTTTGGCACACCCTTATGGAGCATCAAACATACCTAATCCTGGCCGAGTAGTAATTAGCAGGAAGTCACAACAGACTTTTCCTCTGGTAAACCTTCACTGCTTAATCAAGTTCCATCTTCACAGGCATAGTGGTGGCTCTTCAATCCAAGCAACAAGACAAAACATTTTCCAAAACCTGTTCCACTATTACCATTTCTCATCTCTGACCCTTGTAAATCAGGTACATAATCCTGGGCCTGTCAGGTATAAGGACACTGCATTTGCCTGTTGGATATTTGACTCCTTGCAATTGAGGATTATTTTTTCCAAATCATTATACTACTATCAGTGTTATCTGAACTAAGTACTCCTCCACTCGTATGCTCGCCAGATCAGATGATACTAATTTAATTTAAAATACACATAACACTCCTTTAACCACTTGACATGGATACCTTTCAGTACACGTGCGCATTTCTGCTCTGCACAACTTTTTCAGAAGTAGCCAGTGTGCTGGGCTGTGCAGTGAGGAAGATGTTCTGTGATGGTCCCTTGTAAGGACACTACTTTGATAATCCAACACAATAGAGAAAGCACACACAATTTCACAATTACTTCCTTAACACACAAACAATGTTCTCTTACTGTGACAGCTTCAAGTGAATTGCAGCTAGGAAACCCCTGCAATTGCCTAGCTGCAATATCCAGTAATATGTAGAAACAGTCAGGCTTTATTAACAGTTGGAGAATTACCTCCTAAGCCTCAGGCAAAGACAAGCGAACTAAGTCTCTGCCGACAGGGAAGTCCCAGAATTAGAAGAAACACAGGAAAAACAAGGCCTCAAAAAAGATAGTAGAAAAAGGAGAATGGATTCACATTGGACTCTATCTCTAGGCTGAAATGGTCCAATTGCCTCTAAAATCCAAGCAGCTATGGACGAGTGCACAAGCACTTGATAAGAAAACATTAAAAGGCAAACCAATTTCTGATGATACCTGCTTCTCCCCGAAGGGCCTTCTCCACAGCAACCCCTCTCTCCTCGAGTTGCCTCTGCTTCTCTTCCACTTGTTCAAGCTGCCGCTGGATGATCTGTTCAGAGAAGGATGGAAGAGAACCTCACCAACAGCAATTCTCTTGCTCTGTCTGCAGCACTTACCCTACACTAAGCGACTTCAGTGAAATCAGCCTTTTCAAAAACAAGTATTTGTATTCAACAATATGCTGTTTCAAAAGCTAGCATCACAGTCCCTCCAGTGACAACATCCTCCCCACCCCCCTTGCCTCCTATCCCTTAATTTTGCAAACACCTTGCTACTCACTTATTTGCTACAACTCCAATCACCTTCTTAAATGCTGAAGTGAAAGGTGATGCTATTCAGTCAGCTGAGCCCCTACCTTGAGTTTTAAACAAATCCCATCACCTATAGATGATGCCAGCAGTTTTCCAACAGATTCTCTGTTAATTAAAGGTTAATTTGGTAACACTTCACTCAGCAGCATACTCTAGGAGAGCAATGATAGGTGCAGCTTCATCAGGTATTATTGGACTATCACTGTTCCATTCAGTGCATGATGCTTTGCTCATCTCCAGCTAGAAAGGTGTTATGGTCATTATTTTTCTCACTGTAAAACTATCATAATAGCTTTCAGCCATTCTTCCTATGTCATTGTGCTTTTGCATAGAGTTAACTGTCTGCCACGACAAGAAGATTGTGAGACGCTACCTGAGCTCTGTGTAACCTCTTTAGCTCCTCCTGCTTGGCTTGTCTACGGGCAGCTTTCTGTACTCGCCGGGTCAGCTTGGCATTCAGTTCCTCTTCTGTGTAGGCTCTCTGAAGGAAGGAAAAACAGGGACAGATTTTATTTGCATGCTCAGAGGTATGGGGGGAGGGATGACCATTTTCTCTTCCAAAATCTCAGAAGGGAGGTGTTCTGTCTTTGCCATGGCTGTGTCAAAAGTCAAGCTTCTGTAGGCCAAGGTGTTCACAATGCAGTGAGCAGCAATTTCAGGGTCAAATCAGGTGTGAAGAATGATATAAGCCAACTGCAAAGCTGTGAATTTATATAATGTCCCACCCCGTCTTCCACTGTTATATGAAACCTCTCCCAAAATATCAAATAAATTTTTATTCTATTTCTCAGTAGATCTAGACAAAACGATTTAGTTAAATCTGTGAGTACCATATAGAGGGGTCACCTTGACTTAATTTTAAAAGAGGGTAAAGGCATGTCTTCATGAACAGTTACAGCAGTATAAGCTAAGAAATTACTATAGACTAGTGTAGTTGTATTGGTATTCCCCTCTCCCTATTTTATTCTGGAGCAAGAACATCCATAGTTGGGAGTTCTGTAATGCCTGTGTAAATACTTGCAACATTTCTATGAATTAAGAAGGCAAAAAGACATTTGAAAACAGAATGACTTGAGACAGGGAAATCCTATCACAAGAGCAACCCAACAAAACTGGCCAGTGTAAAACAGAGTAAACAACCCCTAAACTAAAACTAGAATATTACAACACCAGAAGCCATCCAAAAGGAGAAAGGCTATGTGTATAGAAATAGAAACGTATTTCCTCCTTTTCTTTTCTCTCAGTGAAACTCGTTTAAAAATAAGTAAGTCTTTTTAACATTAAGGAAATGGGGGTTGTTGGTTGCATTGTAGTCTAGGAGGACCTCCTCTTGTAGACTTTTGAGAGTGTCAAAGAAACTTCACAACTGCATTAAATGAACTACAGCAAAGAAAATAACTCTGTTCCCATGTACACATAAGCTTTAAGGGACAGCTGTAAACTGATGTCTTCCACTTCTGGAAAGACATCTTCTCCCCAGACAGTCAACTTTAAGGACAAAATATTAAGACAGACCACCCTGAAATTTTCTTTATCTAGTTATTGTACTGCTACATCAATCTATCTCTGGTTTATTGTTTTCAGTGGATAGACTAAGGTAGGGTCACAACTCAGACAGATGGTTAGCAAGCACCATCATTAAAGCTCCAAGTAGTTAACACTTCACTCTTTCTTTCTTTTTTTAAAAACACAAAATCCACAATTATACCCAAATCAGAAGGTAAAGTGATAGAGGGTGTGACTTTCCTATCCCATGTAACACTGTTGTGACTGTAAAGACAGGAGAACAAGAATTTCAGAAAGCAGCAACATTCCTGAAACAGAAATGCAACTTCTGTCTTGATTTTAGCTTGGTACAGAATTTCACAAAGATTTCAGTGAACTCAACAATTTTGAAGGATGCTGATTAAAGTGTGATTATTCGTTTGAACTCATATTTTAAGTATTAAAAAAAGAATACACATACATATTTAATTGACTTGAAAACCAACTTGTTCTGAAGCTCAAAGATCATCCACATCACTCTGAACAGTGGTACACTGCTGTGCACTGATATTTGCATGCATTCTAACCAGACAGACAATTCGGAGCTTAATGCATTTTTGGTAGACAACTTCTACAAATAATTTGCTGCCAGTGTCTTCTAACATCTCACGCATGCACAGTCAACATTTGTGATGTTAGTGTACATGTGATGGATAGCTACGGATTCAATGGGTTAATACAGGGACATGCAATGCAACAATGGCCAACTACTGGGAATGGAGACACTACCTTTGACGAATATGATCTCTTGAATGCCAAGGCGTGTGGTACATAAATCGACTTTAAAGGGGGGAATGGTAAGGGAAAAAAAATAAAAAAAAAAACATACAAAATGAAGCAAAATCAGTTCAACATTGAAAACAGATGCACAGTAATAAAACAAACCTGTTTTTAAATGAAACATAAGCAAATGCTGAACATGACCCAGGTTGATGAAGCACAATGGAACTTCTGTCTGCAAAATCAAGTTTCTAGCACCCTCCTGAAGGCAATTAGCTTTGTCAGCCTCCCTGAAGGTACAGTCAACTTGGAAATACCTTTTTCTAGAGGAATTATTTGGCCTTTATCTACCTATGGTTTTAATGCCCATTGAGCAAGTACGCGTACATAGACATGCAAAATTTCAGCTTAGGATTTGGAAAAATGGCATATGCTGAGTAATGTTTGGTCTGAACCAGCTCAGCCAACCACATATTTCTTTTTCACACAACTCTCCATTTGCAGTCTTATTTACAACCTCTCCTAGGAGTTGTGTTTATTTCATGGTTTGAAATGATCTCTACTTCATACAAATGACCACTTGCATTTAACTAACACCATAAATCTTCCTCACTGCTTTGAGACAGGAGAAACACCAGATGGGCTCAGAGTAGGTTATGTGTTCTACAGTAATAGAATCTCCTGGTCTAAAAAGAGAGCCTCCAGAGAGTTTGAGGAGCTAAAAATTGGAGAAAAGGAAGGCGGAGAAAAGGAAGGTGGAGAAAAATAACTGTCTTCTCTATCCAAGGACATTCTACATTACACTGGACTTGAAAATAAGGGAAGTAAACGACTTAGGGATTATAAGAGAGGTGAATTTTCCTTGTGTCATGAAGTACATTGTGCTATTCTGGGCAAACAACCAGCATTTTGCATTTTCACATTCAATTAACTAAAAAGAGTCACAAATGAAAAGCCATAGAAAAACTTCAGCATGTATGCAAACTTAAGTAAAAAGCAAACTACCAGTGGTAGTAAAACATACATTTCATCACAATACCACAACTGTACGGGAACAACGACAAACACATTCACAATGACACACATCCATAAAAACGAGACCCATATGGCATTTACATTAGGAATTCTTTACAAGATGCTTCTCTTGAAAGACACTACATTAAATGACACTGAATTAATTCACTGCTGATCACAAAGAACAGGCTAAACAGAGCAAGCTGTCTGGGAAGCAAGCTCACTACAATTACCAAAAAAAGCAGCACAAGCAGAATATCAATTTAGAGAAGGGGTTCACATAAAAGTTATGTGACACACAGGAGGTCAACTCTTACCCATAATAAGTAGCAGGAAGTTTGTAACTTAAAACATATAACCCCCACCTCAAATCAGTACAAACCCAGTTTTGTCAGTCAGTTACATTTCTTCTGACAGCAAGGCAAACTAAGTAAGTGGAGTTCTCAGTTTCGTTTCCTCTAAATCAATTAATTCTCAAAACTATTCTTTAGAAAATAGGCAGATGCTGAGCAAAGAAATTCTTAAGGTAACTTCAGCAACAGCAAATGGGAGAAAATGAGACACCACCACCATACCCTTGGCAGAGCTGCTGAGATATTTTCAGTATTAGGATTCCAGGCATCTGCCACTGTTACCTGTCCCATCCAATGCATAGTGAAGATATCTCTTCTTCTGCAAAAGCAATTTGAAATCTAAGTAGCTCAGCACGGAAAAAAACTCAAGGCATACTGAAGTCTGAAAACAAGCATGGACCTTACCAAAACCCTGCTTCCTACAAGGCAGAACAGTAACTCTGCAACTCTTATCTGAACCCCTGTATTGCACACCTGTTCTCTGCTAACCACAGGTACCTCATTCTTCTGCATCTCTTGGAAAATGCAGAATTTCTCATGAAACGCCTTGAGGGCATGCAAGGAGGAATGGAAAGGGGAGAGAAAAAAGGGAATAAAATAAAAACAAAATAATCTTTCTCTTAGAAGAGATCTATATCAATTAGGGAGAGAGATTAAAAGACAGGTAAGTAAATACAGAAAATTCCTACTTACTTTATCAACTCCTTCCACCAGCCTTAAATTCATTAGTTACTCTAATTAATTCCATTATATACATATAGAACTTTAATTTGCAGTACTTCCATACTTTTGCCATCTGAGCCAAGTATCAACTAGATTCTGCCATTTGAGACTGATTTGTGCACACTGGGTGACAAGTTTGAGACAGGAGGCACAGACACTGTGTCTGTAACACTACCCTTTCAGATGCTCTCTTCTTCCTGAGTTTTTTTTTTTTAAACATGTGAACCAGGCATCACCAGGAAGGGGTGGGGGGAACACATTTTTCATTCCTCAGTAGCAGAAGGGCCTTAGTGCTCTGTGGAGTCAATGAAATCTCTATTTATTCCTCCAAACCTCACAAACTCTGTCTAGCAGAGCTTAGAAGCTCTCAGGAATGAAAGAAGGGCTCTTCCCCATTACTATGATTGAGCAGTTCCTTAACATTTCTCACTAAAATTGAAATAAATAGCTTAAAGGCAACTAACCTTGGCACTTGCCTCTCACCATATATAAATATGTGCAAATAAACTAAATGTATTTTTCTCTTTGGGCTTTTATGGAGACCCACTGGTGTATCCTCTTTCCTCCTCAACAACTTCCTTAAAGCACCATTTAAAGTGAAGCTATTTTGGCAAGAAGGTCATGATATGTCTTACAGTATGGCATTATAGCACTAGCTAGGGAAGGTTGGTCAGCAACAAGAAATAGCCCTCTGAGAAGAAGCAGAGTTCATATCATTGACCACAGTGGAACAAGACCACCAGGCTAAGACCAACCCCTATGTGCTGACATTTCATAGGGGCTCACTGTTATGTATTTCAGCTTCACAGTTGTTATCTACAGAGACACACAGAAATACTCAGCAACTGCCAAGAAGTCCTCAAAGTGTCAAAATGTAAGAAGCAGCTGATGCACTTATCTTTTCTCCAGAAAGGAAAGGTAGTAATTCAGACTGTACACACTCTTCTCTCAGGAAAAATAAGCACACCTGCATGAGCTGCAAAGCTACAGCCTGCCTAAAGCTTACCTCTTAGTTGATGATCTGTCTTGACTATGTCCTTGATGTATGCAACAGTACATTCCTGCCTGCAATTTGCTTGGAATCCTACCACTTCAGTCTATCAAAGAGGCTGGTAAAACAATATTCTAAAATTGGACCCTTACAAAAAGTGAGAACTATCTCATTGTTATCTTTTTGCAATAACATTAGAGACAGTGAAATTTACTCATCTGCCATTAAATGTCTGTTTTCTGTAGATCATTGGCACGCTCACAACAGGAACAAAATTCATTATTCTGACTGTGATATTTGTTGTAAAGTAATGCTACAGTGAGACAACAGATCCTTCACATAACAACAGTGGGGAGTAACTTGCAATTGTGAAACCAAGTGAAACCAACTTTTAGGCAGAACAGCCAGCCAAGTTACAGGAAAGCCTGTTGTACAAAAGAAACGGTAAAACCAATAAAATTTATCATCCAAGTTTCTGACGTGGTTCTCTGAGCTTGTGATCTGCATGATGCTAGACCCATATAAAATGCATTTTCCATCTGCCTACCTCTCGCCTGGATTTCTGTGAGGAGCGTTCCAGAATATCGTCACTGGAAAGGTCAGAGTCCTCTGAGAAACTCAGGTGCTGCCGAAGCTGCAAATCTGAGAAGCCAGGAATAGAAAGGAGAAGTTAGAGAAGTGGTAACTATTCTTTCTGTTAAGATTTCAGAACTCAGTTGATAAGTTGTTTGACTGACCTTCAAGAATACTTAGTCTTTTTATGCCAATCTCAGCTGCTTCAGCTGGGATTTCAGAGTGATCAGAGAAGCACTGCTCCACAAAAATGATCAATATTAGTCAGAAGCTTCATTTTAAGAGAGCATAGCTTTCTGCAAATGCTGTTAAAAATAATCGTTGTGATTCTCCCTTTGTACTGTATCAATGCTCTTACAATAGATACAGCACTTGGATGACAGCAGCTAGCACTATTTTGGCTATTTGTACAAGGCCAGAGAAATGTAACATGTTTGCTTTGATCTCATTTATGGCTACCTTATTTACTGTAACAAAACTTGCCACTAAACATCTCTGCCTGTACTTGATGGCATGTGAGAGATTTACACGAGGCTGCAGAATCCTCACTTCACAGATCAGCAGACAGCTACCAGATTCCTGAGAACACAGGAGTCACTGCATCTCTGCAGTCTTCAGCAGCCATGGAGCCAGGTTGAAAACAGGAGAACAGACCACCCAAGGAAAAGATGAGGATCAGATTGAAAAGAGAGGAAATGTCACAAACAACTGATTCCAACAAACAGTGCTTATTTCTCAAACCAGTCTAACGCAGAAAACAGATCTGCCTCGTACATATCGATAGTGAAGCTTTTATTGAAGGATCCATTTTTTTCAGTGGCATATCAACTAATTCTGTCAATATGAAACGTACAATAGTTCGCTAGCACTTATCTTGATCTGCCCATCTGACACTGGGGAGCAGTGTCATTCAGCACAGTAGCTGAATGACAAAGTAAGCCAAACTTACTTTCAAGGATACCTAGGAGAAGTATGCAGAGGCACATTTTTATTATACCTGCAGCTGTAACCAAGGTAGAAGTTTTGTGCTTGCCAGAATCCACAGTGGCACTACTTGAGGGAGTACTTGGGCAGGATTTGTCATCCGTCTTTTTCTTCTTGTCTTTCTTATACCCAGAGAAAACAGACTTCCATAATGACCTAGGCTTTGTTGCTTCTTCTGTCCCACCACTAGATTTATCAGAAAGCCTGCTGTCATTTTTTGATTTCTTTTCCTTTTTGTTCTTACGAGGGGAGAAAAGAGAAGTTCTTTTCTTACTCTTCCCACTGGAGCCTTCTGAAGAGGTGACAGACCCTTCAGGTCCAGCCACATCAGCAGCAGGAGTGGAGAACTTCTCACCAGCAGCATCGTGCTTTCGTGTGGATCCCTCTGCTATTTTCAAGGCCAGATGCTTTGGAGAGTCATAAAACAACTCTTTGGTCTTCAAGGGCATAGAAGATGCCTTTCGTGCCCTTGTGGCCCCTGCAGCAGCAGCTGCAGCCATCTCCATGTCTTTCATCTTACACAACTGTTTAGCCAGGGCATCACGCAGTGCTTGGCTCTTGACAGACTTCTCTCTGGCTCTCATTCTTTCTTCAGCAAGCTCCTTGGCCTCCGCAGAAATTTCAGGCAACACTCTCTTCTTTTGGTTAACACCTCCTTCCATTGAGGGTGGACCACCATTTTCTCTGACCAAGGGCAAAAGAAGTGCTTTCTCTGGCCTTGGCCTACTGGTAGGAGGTGTAAAGAACTTGTCATGAAGACTTGAGTCCTCTGTCCTGTCATCGTATGTGTCTTCTACATCATCAGCAAATGGAATCTCATCCACACTCTCTGCAAAAGACTTCCTCACATCGTCTTTTTTGGCCTGAGTCGACTCTTTGGCAGCAGAGGTCCGCTCATGGCGAGAGGGAGCAGGAGGTGTTGATGCTGGTGTTGGAGGTGACCTGGCTTCAACCTCATTCTGCCAGACTGCTTGATGCCTCTTTCTACGCAAAGTGGCTGGTTCTTCATCCTGAGGAGGTGGTGGTGGCGGACTTGATGGAGGAGTAAGCATGGTAGAGTCAGAAGTGTTGAAGCTCTGGCTAGCCATAGTTCTCATGTTAGATGAGCTCTCCTGAAGGCCAAGTCCAGAACTGCTGGATACATCTCTCCTTACTTCACTCTTTAGCTCTTTTTCTGATGGAGATTTTGGAGTGAGCAGAGAAATCTGCTCATTTTCTAATTTGGACAGTCCCTGTCTTCTTGGGGCAGGCTGGGGTTTCACGAGAGGGATCCTTCCATCCCCTGAAATATTCTCGCTATTAAAAGTCTTCAGAGGAGTTGTCTCAAGGGCAGATACAGTAAAGTTTGTCTCTGGGCGTTTGTTTCTGTCTACTGGGGTGAGCCCTAAGCTCCTCCGGATTTCAGCACTCTTCATCCAGAACTCCTCTACAAGGTTACTCCGTTTCAAGGCTTCTTCTGCAGTAGCAGGGCTCCCCAGTTTTTCCACCTCACTATCCTGGCCCCTGAGGACCAGTTTGGCTAAAGGAGTAGACGTTAAGGCTGGGACAGGTTGGAAACATACTGGAGGCTCCACTGGGGATGGAATGGATGTTTCAGCAGAAGGCAAAGGCTGGGAACAGATAGGCATTTGAGCAGAAGTCGGGGATGAAGCCAGTGTTGGTGCTGCTGGCTGAGACTCTGCTGGTGATGTAGGTGCAATGGCTTCTGCTGATGCAACTGGCTGGGATAACACTGGAGATGGTGGGACCAAAGGGCTCTTAAATTTCCTGTCTTTGGGAATTTCATCCTTCGTTCCTTCTTCAACAAGGAAAGGCTCAGGAAAAAAGCGTGCCTCTGGAGATTTTATTGCACGGGATATTTCAGCCAGGGGATCTTTTACATCCTACAAAAAGTGTAAAAGAGAAATATTAATAGTCACTGGGCACATTAGAATACTGTTCCATTTTTGCTTTCAACAAAGTTAGCACCAAGGAAACGGTCCAAGTATCAAAACAGGAAAAAAACCCACACTTGGCATCCCATTTCCAGGCCTGGAACATCACATAGGATTTCTCACCAGGTGTGGTTCATTTTTCTGCCCCATTGTATAAACCATCCTTTGTAGATGACAAGGTAAAATTAAATTTTGGAAGAGA